AATGACAGCCCTCACGCGCGCGCGCGCGCGCGCGGCGGGCACCACCTAACAACAACGGCCGCTATAAAACTTAGCTGGCGTAATGCATACTTTCGCGCAAGCCACGGTCTGCCTACTGCCTCGCTTCGCTCTCTCTTTGAACGGCCGCGGCTTATTACAGTAAAACAGTTAAACACGATAGTATACGTAATAATAGCGACTACCGTGATGACTACTGTTATCCGGCAGAATCGCTGTTATATTACCATTATAATTCGCGCATTATTAAGTAGTGTGTAACGACTTGATGACCAGCCTGTCGCAAGACGAACTTCAAACAGACTCGAAACAAGTTTCTCTCGCGGCGACAACCGCCCATCTCATCCGAGAACAATTCTAAACGCTTGTTACAATTGTTGAATACTTCGTCATAACGATTACCGTTTCGGTATTGATTATTCTGTATAAAAAACTTTGTTGAGTCATTCAATTTTCTTGCGAGAAACTATTATTTCCATTTTTAACTTGTTATTTTTAGTAGGATCATTTAGACGTTAACAAAATTAATTCTCTAGTAAAATTTGTAAAATCAAAGATTATGGAAACTGGTCGTTGCATTCGCTACTTATTCGTTGCATGCAATTCTGTCTTCACGAATTTGTTAGATATCATAAGGAATTATTTCTGATGCAAAAGTACAATTTTTATCGCCAATTTAACCGTTTCGCGATGTTGAATAGCGTAAATTTCACGATTGCTGAAAAAAGGGGAAAAAATTGGAAAAAATTGGGAAAAAATGGCGAGAATCGCGAGTCTGCGAGACAAAGAACGCGCGGTACGCGGAATCATTCCATTTCCCGAGTTCGATGACGCACCCCCGGGTCTGGTGCCAGGCCCGGGAGCTCCACCGATGATCAAGGGTGATGCGGGAGAAAGAGGGACGGGGGCGAGGGTGGGCTCGGCACCGGCGAGAGCGGCGGTGCGGAGCTTCGATTTCAAATTTCCTATTTCCCGACGAGTTGGCCTGTGTTGAAAACGTAGCGTGCAACGTAACAACGTGCGAGAACGAGAGAGAATCGCATATACACTCTCCACACAAACCCGGGGGGGAAGAAAATGACGGTGGAACGCGGCGGCGACGGCCGGGGGCGGCGGCGGTGGCGGCGCCACGGCGGAATACCGGCAACGCCGCTTATTTTTTCGATGATTTTCGAGCGCGCGGGCGCGTCCTTGTATGTGCATCATACGTGTATGCATTTCTCTCCGCTTCGTATATACATGTGAACGGCCCTATCAACCCCCTTCGGCTGGGTCGTCGATGGTCGGCGTTGTTGCGCCGGGGATGCCATCGGAGGAAGAGCGGTAACGGCGGGTGGACGGGCGGGCGGGGGAGTACGGTTGGTAGTCGGCGGCGGAAAGGCGTTAGGGTGCCCCTGGGTGGAAAGAGGAGGTGGTGCAACGGTGTCGGTGGTTGGCATGAAACCGGTGGCCAGATAGAGAACGTGGGTGAGAGCGAGGGAGAGCGGCGGTGGCGTGCGAACGGAGATAGAACGGCTGTGAGATACGGCCGAGGGAACCGGGGGCAGCGGTGGGCCTGCATGCACTTTTTTTTCCGCACCCCGCGTATTGATCCCGGAGTCATTCAAAATGGCGGCCGGGGCCGAGTCAGCCAATGACTGCCTGAATCGATGACTGCAGCGAGCCACCCCCGGACCGGCCAATGGGAGGCCAATGGGAGGCCGTCGCACGCCGTTCTCTGCGGGAACTACCACCCCGATGTACGAGACACAGGCCTCCCACGTTGTGTACCCTGGTACACACACGTATGCATACACACGTGCCGACGGGGGTTGTGTGCGCGCGTGTGTGTGTATACGTGTAGCTGTTTGGTCCGCCGGGCAGAGCTCGTCGATGACCCGGGCGACGTCAATGATTTCCACGGAAAATTTTCCCCCCCAAAAATGGCAAAACTCGCCGCTCGCTCCTCCGGCCGGGGATCCCGGACCAGAGCGCGCTGTAGCTTTGATTAACGGTCTTCCTATGTATATATTCCGCCCCCGCTCAATCCCCCCCTCTCGTACTTTATCGCAAATATACGAGACAGAAAGTACTGACTGCACGGGCAAAAATATTCCCGATCATCGACCGGTGTCTGCCATCTTTCATGACTAGCGGCCCCTCGTCATCACCCCGGCTCTGGCCCGACAGTTTCGCTCCGAAATAAACGAGATTCGTTCGCTACATGCATATTCCAGCGCGCCCAAATCATTAAAAAATAGATTGTTTCTCAGTAACAATGCAGAAAATGACGTCATAAATTCGCAATTTTTATCGCTATTGCATCGTTCCTTGCGGAGCGTATAACTTGTAAATGATTCTCCATTCCATCTTTGCTTTCAATAGAAGATTAAAAAGATATGCAAACGATAAGACGGTAATTCCACTTAATTGTTTCACGTCGTCAAGTAGGTAATCGTGATTTAATAACTGGCGCTTTTAAAAATTAAATCCCACTTAAGATTGAGACGTCTACGGATATCTTTGCGAGAAACTCGGCTATTTCGGACGAACGTTTACCAGACTTGAAAACGGTGAATTTTACATTCACTCGTAAGAATAGAGCGCGGCGTATTTTTCCGATAACACGCGAGGCGCGTCAGATTTTTTCCGGCACGATCGTCGGCGATGCCGCTCGAAGTCACCGTGCTATCTTCGTCACCTTGATCCTGGATCCGCGCAACGCTTATCTTATCACACGACTTGCGCAAAGTCTCAGAAAACACGCTTGCACAGATACGCCTGCACTTGTACGGAGCGATCGCTCTTCGCTCGACTTTTCGTTACCACTTCTGTCCGAGATCTGTGATCCAGGACTCGGGCGGGCTTGACTTCGGGAATATTCTCGAGATTAAAATTTGGGCAGGTACGGACCGGCAGGATCGATCGATCGCGTCCGATCGCGGAATTCGTTGCCGCACTTTGCGCATAGCGCGGGGCAAAGAGAATGTCGAAACTGCGCGAGGCACGAGGCACACGATTGCATCACGAGTCGCAGTGTGCGGCCGAGCTGCATTACGTCTGTGTGTGCATATGTACTTAGATTGCCTCCTATTGACACAGTCGCAGACGACAGTGGTGGTACAGTCGGGAAAAATGCATGCGACGCGTTCCGCGGCTCACGTCCGTGCCGTGAGCTTCGACAATGCTCACGCACTCACGCACGCCCGTACGCGTGTATGCCTTTGATCACGCGGCGCGTATTTGACATCCCGAATTGTCCGGAATCGGTATCGATTACCGGTGAATCGGTGTTGTCTAAACAGTCGGCCGCGCGTATCTCGCGTATACGCGAATAATTTCGACGGATCTGCAATTCATTCCTTTTTTGCGCTCTTTTATCCTTTTCACGCGGGTAAATTATCTCCCCAACCGCGCCGCGGTCCGAAATAATTTGATTCATTACGCGCGTTTGCCGCGTTTGGTTATATTTAATGCGACGATACAGACCCGCGCGCATGCACGCAACGCTCGTCCCGACGAGCGTTCTCATATTTAATGTAAATCAAATTTAGAACCGGAACAAAGTACACCGGTCAGCGGCGAGCCGATTCTACACGTTTGCACGATTACTGTTAATTAGCAGTCCGTCCAAATGGACCTGAAAAATTCATGAGGTGTCTCGCTGTTACCCGCCCAGTTTTACGGATCACTGACTTTCCGCGCGACGATCTAGGTGCATCAACGATTCCATTTCCCATCGAAATTAAAGGAACATCGATTCTTCTCGAAACAATGAAATAAAACACTCGCGTGTATTTTATTATTAAAAACTTAAATATTGCATTTCGTACGATGCGGAATTGTTCGATAGTTAAATAGCATCCAATTATTACGGTAGATACGAAGACGGTCGCGTTCGTCGTTTAGAAACGTGCGTCTCGTCGACAACGCTCGACAACGAGGGGAGAAAGAACGGTCGGTGCACTTTCTGACGCAGCTGTACTAAGTGCACGATGGAATGGGTTTTTCTAGCGCGGGCAGTTTTTCTATTAAGCTTCATTTGTTTCTTTCATTGCGTAATGCGCCGGACGCGTCGCTCATTTCATCCTACTGCCGACCGGCTACTCCTACCGTTAGAATTCTTAATCCGGGCTGTCAGTTTCGATGGCTCGCGTGCAGCACGTTCCTACGATTCGCCGATTCGCCGAATTGCGACCGTCGCGACGATCTTAATCTCATTTCCCGGCGAATATAAAGTAGTGCGTCTCTCATATTACAATGTATTCTCCGCGATGACGTGATAACGCGCGTGAGGTGGTCCGAGATTCAGATCGATGTACACACGTTTCGGTGAGTTCAATCGCTCGACGCAGCAAAAAAAAAACATACATAGACATTCTTTTCCCGCATTTAGAGGTTGAAAATTTTGAACTCACCGAAATTATTATTAGTGGAGTTTATTAGTGAAAGATAGTTTGTATTTATTTATCGAGAAAAAACGAGAATTTCTTTGGATCTTTTCCTAAAGAATATAAAAATCATAAAACAGACGCCTGAAAGATATTTTAATTTTTCAAATTTTTAATAAGTTACTTTTAAACGTGTCTGAGAATTCTTTTGCGTTGCTTGGATTTCAGTGCAATATATAACACATCATTCAGATGTAATAAATAGGTTTAGTGACTGCGTATATCTCGTGTGTGATAGCGTCTGCTCGCATTTGTCGCTCTACCGCACTTCCACCGTGATCGATAGTCTGCCGCGGTTAGCACGGACAAAAACCTTAAAACGACTCACCCTTTTCTCCACTCGTTCATTCCATCGTTCCTTATTCCGCCACCAGGCGTCACCTCGCCACGGGGTGGTTCTTACAATCGGGGGTTGAAAGGAGGCTACTTCACACGAGCAGCAAACGAATTTCTGCAAAAAAAAAGACATGCGAACGATTTATTAGTCTGTGAATCTTCCCGAGTGACAGATGCACAAGAGAACATGAAAATAAAAACGTGTTTAAGCAGTCGTGCGCGCGCGTGTTAATCAATCATAGATAATTCTTCCTTTCTTTGTGAAATTCTTGACAGATTGAGCATTATGTTAGCGTTGTGTTATCATTTTATTTTAATTATTTTCAATTCATAGGACAACGTGGACATTGCAAAACTATTTTCTTAAATCAACGCAGAATTCTGATAATCATCGAGATATCGGTTGTATCGCGGCCAGAAAATTTGAAAGACGCGGAGGTATAAAAAGTATCCAACGGCCTTTCCACCATCTGACCACCCTCGTCGAACGTTTTCATACACCCCCCCTCGCCACCGGCATATTCGCGAAGAAGGCGGACAATCCAAAGTAGGCAGGATCAGGCCCAGAAGACAAATGTCTTCCTACGCAAAGGCGTACGCCGTATCGGGGTAGTCGATCGGCTCGATTCACAGAGTGCCGCGCCGGCACAACTGGCCGTCAGAGTTACAAGTGCATGTGCAACAACTCCGTACGCCGCAAGTACCCGTCTGTACGTCCGTTGCTCGGTTCTTGAAGTCCAGCTGCCGATCGGGATCAAGGGGGAATCGGGATCGGGACTGAGATCTAAACCGCCGCGTATGTGCGTGCATTACGTACGTATGTACGGTAACGCATACGCGCGTGTATATATATATATGCGCACACATGCGTTACCTGACAATCCACCCACCCTATAAACCAAGCACGGAGGCTCGATTCTCACCTGTTTTTATCCTCGCGTACGCCGCGCCGAGCCGGCCGCTTCATTTGTAATTTAAAGTGAGCCTCGATTGCCCAATGCGTTCTACGTACTTATTTTCGGTGCACCGGAGAAACACACTCGCGCGAGCGAGTCCCTCTCGCCACCCGCACACGGAGCCGAAATTCTTACTACGGCGGCAGCCTGCCGCGAACGGAAGTTCGATCGCGATCGCGCCCGGTTACTTTCGTGCCGAGAAACCCTCGTGTCGGAAATGCGTTACTTTCGTCCTGTTCAAGCCTTCCGCCGATGGCATGTTCAACTGAATATTTCGGCACTTGGATCCTTGCGAAAAATTACGTCGCGATCCATAGATATCTTGCGCTAGTTTTCAATATTTTTTTGGAAGATATTGATTATGAGAAAGTTTTGTGACAATTATATTTTATGTTATATTTATATGTGTATATATATCTGATTTATTATGTAATGCTACTAAAAAATTGAAAATATCTTTACTTTTTTATTTATAACTCCAACGTGAAAGATTAATCGTTATATTGTTAATATCAGATTAAGTTGAACTAACAGTTTTCATTAAATCTCTGTCTCTTCGTAGTTACTAGTTTAGACATATGTAGAGAATGAAGCGAGACTATACATCCTGATAATCGATTTCGGATAGACCGAAACCGGTCGTCGTAGGATATCTCTTTAAGGAGTGAGAGACGTTTTTCGACGGTCCGTCGCGTCGTAACAAAGAAAGTTATCGCGCGTGGCGTTACACGTGCGACGAAGGTCGCTCAATTTTTCCACCATCCGCCGGTCAGCCGACCCATTGGTTAACTTTTTTCGCGCGGCGGTCCACCCTAGTCGCACGCGCGTTGGGAGAGACGCGGATAGGATGGACATGACGATGGGTGTGGGTGGAGGGACGCGACCGGACGCGACGCTATCCTACGTGACGCTCTTTTCTTCGCTCCTTTCTTGTCGCCGCCGCTCGTCCGACCGAGAGAAAGAGAGTGAGACAGCGAGACGAGAAGGTGGACGTGTTGTTGCGTCGTCTCGGACAGACGGCGGGGCTCACCCGCGCGGATGCAGGAGGGCAGGGTGAAGAAAAAAAGGGGTCGCGCTTCCCCACTACGTCGGTCTCACTACTTCCACGTGTACACCACGTGGAAAAAAGGACGAGGCCAGCGTAAAAAAGCGGCGCGTGGGGGTTGTCGCGCTGGTGGGGCAGGAGATGCGAGTCGAGGCAGCCGAGAAAGGGTAGGGAAAGAAGGGAGAGAAAAGGAGCGTAGGAAAGGGTGGCGGGTGGCGTGCGCGAGGTACAGCGAGGAAAATCGTCGACGCGAGAAGGACGGACGAAGGAGCGCGCGAGGGGGGGAAAGACGTTGGTGTAGAAGGGAGGAATAGGAGCCTAATGCAGATGGTGGGGCAGGTACGTTAGATGAGAAGCCGGCAGGGAGGGAGCGAGAGCGAAGAAGGGGCGGCTTGGTTGTCTACTTTGGCGAGGAGGGTGCGTAAGACGAGCAGGATGACCATCGACCACCCTCCGCCGTGAAATGAGCATCAGCGCGTCCACTGAAAAGTCGACGTCCGCCGCAAGGTCGATGATCCGTGCTTAAATCGCGATTTGGCTTTCGAAATGCGGAGGCGGATTGGCAGGATGACGGATGATCAGGATGACGCGATACATTCGGATACGCTTTCTCCCGATCGTCGGACGTTTAATCGACTAATTGTCACTGGAGCCGCGAGTAAATTTCGCGCGCTGCATCGAGACAAGCGTAACAAGCAGGCACTGTCTGTAAAGAGCGATAAAAAAGAAAGCTTACTCTACTCCCCCACAGCATGGTTAGTCACGCGTGCGTTGCCATACGGGACGCGAGGGAGGAGGCCATTTTTATACGACGGTCCCCCTTCTTTTTATTCCGTACCTCAGACTGTTACACCCCCTTACATAGAAGCCCCCTACAATTTTTCGGTCAGTCGAATACTCCGATTCGTGGCGTTCGCATGTCTCACACCGAGACTCACATATATCTCGCCGTTAAACGAGAATCCTTTGATCGACGAGGGAGAATCGCGGGGGGGAAAGGAAGTTCAAGTGAGTTGACGGGTCCGCGACGAACGAGCGAAAAGTTTTCAAGGACGAAACCGTCGGTTCAAAAAGAGAGCGCGATTCGAGGTAGCCCGCGCGTACTTACGTGCGCCGGAACGTAACCGCGAAGTGTAAGATAGCGATCGGGAGATAGACAGGGACAGATAATATCGGTTCTTACGGCTCTCTCCTTCCCGCCCGGCGGCAAGGGTTTTCTTGGCCGGGCGAAACGGAGACGGAGAGCAACCCCTACTCTCTTTCTCTCACCCCTTACGACGCTTACCCCCGTACGAGGCGTCGGCGGAGTCGGCGGCGGAGAATCCCCCACCCACCCACCTGGGCGAGGGGTGAAGGGAGAGGAGAGTTTGAGGAAAAGGGGGAGATAGAGCGCGCGCCTCGACGTCGTGACTGGTGGGGGCAAAGGAAAAGAGGGGTAGCTTGAAAACTCCTGTCCTACGGCGGCCTCAGTTTTTCGTCCTCACGGAGGTGGATTTTCGTCGTGGGTGGACGCGGCCGGGGTCACGAGTCGGTCCACGGTCACCTGGGCCCGCGCCCGGGCCCGTCGGACCCGCGTATGGCATCGCCGCGGTAAGAAACGGCGTGCGGCGAAGGCGCCTCGAGGTGGCCAGAAATTTCGCGGCCGCGCACCACCTAAGACAACGCCCCTACCCGAACACGCGTTCTTTAAGGCACGAGGGGGTGGCTTTTAGTCAGACGCACGCGGTCTGAGAAGCGCGCCACCACCGGCCCCCGACGGAGAAGGACTTAGCGTTTCTCGCGAGCCGCAGACCCGAGTCAGTTTCGGTTCCTCCTCCGTCAAGGACTCGAACGCGGAAGAGGAGAGAGCTTTTTCCCCCGTCGCACGTCGTCGTCGTCGTAGTCGTCGTCGTCGTCTTCGTCGTCGTTGTCGTTACCGCCGTCGTCCTTCGAAGAGGAAGAACAGTGTCTTGGCTGATATCGTGCACGAAGGTCGCGAGCAACCGTGCCGAGAGTGCATCACTATTAACGCGTATTTACCGATCATCGTCGACCGCCGCTGCTCTGCCTGCACCTGTCATCCGCACTTGTATAACTCTCCAGTAAGGAATTCTCCGGATTCTTTCTCTCGGAATATTCGGCCCTTGCCGGTCTTGTGTCTCGAGTTGAATTGTGACCGCCGCGGACTTTGCGTCCCGAGCCGCGCATATTAGTAGACCCGACGCGTAAACCAGCCGATCGTCAACGCGCCCGCTGCCTTTTTTTCTCTTTTCATTCTTTCACGTGATTTTAGTCAGTTTTCCCCACTTTCGGACCGGAGACCACCATTGACCCTCCCCCTCCTATTCGCTGTTCCGAATCCTGACATGCCCGGTACGTCATCGTCGCCGTCTCAACAGTGTTTCGTCGCGATCGCACACGCTTCGATCCCGTCTCGATTCTCGGGAGTGATACGATGTGCTTCGGTAAGGTCACGAGAAAACCAAGACGAGAGAGCGAGTCGGGGGAGAGAAAAAAAACGAGAAAGATCTCGAAACCATCGTCGAATATGTGTGCAGTCAGACGAATGATTGTCTTGATGCTCGCGATCGCGGAATCACACGGCGAACAATAAACGTAACGAATCGCGAGTAAACGAGTTAGCAATTATGCGAATATCCGTGCGTGATCATTTCGCATCGTTAATTCAGTAGGCAGGCGACAATGCTTGTCACGTCACATAAACCTGACACACGTTGTAACAAATTATTTGGCGTTTCATTGACGTCGCGTCAACCCTCCTCTTCGGTCAGTGACAGTTTGACTGTCACTCGCGAAAAGATCGTGTATTAGGAAATAATTCAAGGAGCGGCGAAACAGTAGCGAAAAAATATACATTTCAAAATTCTTCCAAACAAGGACGATAATCGCCGAAACGAAAAGATGATTGCAATTTCACTAGCGTCAAGGATTGTGTTATAGTGAGAGATATCGCGTTGTTCGTAGTGCTGTTACGTTTGACATAAAACACATATCTCATACTTATATTACATTCTCAAGAATATTCAGTGCTCTGGATCTTTATTTTCATTCCGTTCACCGTGCTTTGGTTTATTGCATATTGTTATCTTAGCATTATTTTTATCCACAAAAAATATTTGATTCACATATATCGACGCGTCATTCTCTTTCTGTCGAATATTTTCATATTAATTTTGCATCTCTGCATTTGGCATTCCTTACTGTTTCTACGTTATCAATGATAAGTCACCACGCGACGGCAAAAGGCATCCGCGTTTTCGAGCCGGTTTGCGCCGCGTTCTCGTAAATGTGCGAAACCAACTAAAAATCCGCTTTGACGAGGCATAGCAAAAAGCAGGGCATGAATTTGTGTAATGTTAAATCATCGACGCGAGAGCTGGATGTGTCAAACGGATGAAATTTACCACGCCGCGTAATTAGTGCGTGCTTCTGACAGTGCTGGTTGAAATTATTGTTTGTGTCGCGGCCGGAAGTGTAACCCTTCATAAACGTCAGTTGAAAGAGAACTGCGTTTAAACATTGCCTTATCGTAAGATCGTAAAATCTCGAGGGTGAACCTTTCCGATATCGCGAAATTTGATTAGAATTCTCTTCCAATTCGATTCGACGTCGCGCTGCAACAACCGTTTTTAGACAGTGTCATCTGACAAAAATCAATGTTTTAAATAACTTTGTCTTCGCGTACCTCATCAATCGAGACATTAAAACTTTTATTACGATCCGAAAGTCGCAGTGAATACCGTGAGAAATCTGAAAATGTCGCATATCTGAGATAAATATATTTCAGCAATATCCCGCAAACGTTCTTTCCCAAACAATAATGTGTGAAACGGTTGCCTATGGCATGAAAAAGTAGTCGTGTATTGATGTCAAACCGTTGGTCGCGCGTGACGCCGAATAACGCAAAAATGTATTCTGTTTTTCTGGATTGCAGCTTCGAGCGGGAGACGCGTTGCAGCGAGAGATTCCCGCGCAGGAGAGGAAGACTGGACAAAGCGGAAGAAGCAGAATAAGACGAGCAAAGCAGAAGCGGAAGAGCAGAAGAGCGCAAGAAGACCGAAAGCCGAACGAGTAGAAGCGGGGTTGCGAAGAAGAAAGTGATTTAGCGAGTTTATCGCGCGTATCCGAAGATAGCGAGAAGACGGAATACGGAAAGATCGGGAGTAGAGCTACGGAAGCGCAGAGAGACAAAGATCGAAAGAGGGAGTTAGAGACGAAGAGAGATAGAGCAAGAATCGGAAAGAAAGCTCGAGAGAACCCCGCGCTGCATACATATATATTTCAGTGTGTTCAAAAAACAAGTGTACCTAAGTGCAATATTAATTAAACCTAAACGATAATAAGAAGCAACCACAACTACCATCGACGATATCGGTAACGACGAGCGGTGATCGATAATCGAATAGAATTCCTTTTAAAGAGTTAAAACGCTAGAGTCGCATTTCGAGGAGGAGTCATCGACGGACGCGACGAAGCCGCTTAGAAGAAGAGAGAGAATCGGAGGAAGCAGGCGGAAGCAGAAACGGAGTGACGGAAATCCCGGAGAGGAACGCTCTCGTCCCGCTTAAAAGAAATCACACGAACTCACTGACTCAAAGCCGACGCGCGCGATTCAAGCAAACATCAACTTTTCGAGTCTTGTTCGAGCGCGTTCGAGCACACGCACACACGCACCACACACACAACACCGCACGCACATCCAACATAACGGGGCTTAAATACTCAGGGCAAAACGGGACGAGCGGTAATCATCCGCAAAGTGCGATTTCTCACCCCGAAGAGGAGCGGAAGCCCTTCCAACCGATATCCGATTCGCGTCCGCGTGGACTATCCTTCTCGTTTACACCGTCCGGGCTGGGCAATCCTGAATTTTAACCTGAACTTAAGTGTACGCTAGAGTTTAAGTTAGATAGACGAAGGAAAAATAGACCGTTCTCTCATTTGCTGGAGAACGTTCGCTCGCGCGCGCAACAACTCACGCAAAGCACACGCATAAAGCATACCTACACACACATACATCACACATTACGTATCACACCGGCACACAGAGGAGGGGGAAAAGAAGAGGAGAAGAAGACGGAAGAGAAGAAAGAGACCGAGGCAAGAGGAGCCGTAACCGCGAAAACGCGAACGGACGCAAAACGTATGCGGCACGACAACGATCCGCGTACGTAACGAACGAGTCGTTTTACGATAAAAGACGCATTACGGACGCATTACAATCACCGATCGCGGCGGTGCACTCGTGAGAGAGGCATCGCGACCGACAGCGACAGTGAGAGCCGCGTAAGAAAGGCACGATAGAGAGGGAGAGATCTGGGAGAGGACCCGGAAGAGGGAGTGGAGGAATCATAAGAGGAAGTTTCATGAGCCAGGCGGTAGGTAGCAGGGCCGGGAAGTCGCAGCAGGTGGCGAGTAACTGACGTTGCCCGCCGCCCACGTCGAAGCTCGGCGCGGCGCGAGGATCGTTATCGTTACGACGATCCCGTGGCTAAAAGCAGCGGCCGAGCGCGAGGAAAGGTAGGAAGGAACGGCGGCGAGCGCAGAGGTGTGCCGGCCGTCGAGCTGCTTACCGGAAGGGGTGCGAAAAAGCGGGCAAGCTGCGCCGGAAGGGGGTAGCCCGGGCTTCTCGCGAAGGCCTCAAAATTTCGGACGCGACGGCGGCCCTGGACCTGCGTGCCCAGACGCAAGCCCAACCAGATTTCGGCCCGCTAGACCACCAGCAGCCGCAGCATCACCATCAGCAGCAGCAGCCGCCGCAACAGCAACAACAGCAGCCGCAACAACAGCAGCCGCAGCAGCATCCGCAGCACCAGCAGAACCAAAATCCAGAGTCGCGTCCTCACCATCACCTGCAGCAGCAGCAGCATCACCATCAGCATCACCCGGGGAATCATCTCCACTCTGGCGATTCGGGGGGTGGGATAGGAGGTGGAGGAGGAGGCGGCGGTGGAGGAGGTGGCGGCGGCGGCGGCGGAAGTGGCGGTGGAGCTGGCGGCGGCGGCGGAAGCGCCGGTGGTGTTGCTGTTGTTGCTGGCGGAGGACCGCCCGGATCTGAGCCGGATCGGTCCGCAAGAATTCACGACGAGGAAGAAGAAGACATCACCGAGCGCGAGGACGAGGAGGAGGACGAGGATCCGTGCAGCTCGCCGGAGCCCGACCTTGAAAACGATTCCGAACCAATGGAGATCCAAGCGTCGGCTGTCACCGCGGCAGCCGCGAACCTCCACGCGCTGCGCCAGCACGTATTCAAGATGTCAGATTACTGGCAGCAGCCGCAGCGCGGTCCGCCTCAACATTCGCCTGGCATACAGCACAGCCCCATCTCGAATTCGACTCAGCATCAGCAACAGGTCCAGCAGATGCACAGTCCGCTCGGCCAGCAGCAGCAGCAGCAGCAGCAGCAGCAACAGCAACAGCAGCAGCAGCAGCAGCAGCAGCAGGCCGCGCAGGTCTCGCAGGTGCAACAGAACGCGAACGCGAGCCTCGGGCAAACCGCGAGCCCGCAACAGCAGATGCAGCAGCAACAGCAGCAGCAGCACGCGATGTCGATGAACCAGACGAATCAGGGCCAGCAGCATCAGTCTTCCCCGGCGCCGACGACGCCTTCGCCGCAGGCCGACCATCAAGGCGCCATCGCCTCCAGCATGGCGCAGAGCCTGCACAGTCTCGCGCAAGCACAGCAGTCCATGTCGCAGGCGTCGAGCCCGTCGCTGGCGGTCCAAGCCGTCCAGGCGGCCCAGGCGCTCAATCAAAACCTCGGCCAGGCATTGACCCAGGCGCTCACGCAGAACATGCAACAAAATCTCGGACAGACCTTACAGCACAATCTGGCGCAGAGTTTAACGCCGAGCCTGTCGCCGCAGCAGCAGCAGCAGTTGCTCAATCAGCCGCAGAATCTGAGCCAGGCGAGTCAGAGCTTGCAGCAGAACATCCAGAGCCAGGCGCAAAATCTATCGCAGACGCTGCAACAGCAGGCGCAAAATCTCACGCAGAATCTTGGCCAGGCGCTTAATCAGCAGGCGCTGCAACAACAGGCGCAGAACCTTACGCAAAATCTGCAGCAGCAGGCGCAAAACCTCACGCAGAATCTGCAGCAGCAGGCGCTCAACATGGCCGGCACCATCGCGCAGAACGGCGGTCTCGCCGGTATGAATATGTCGGGCGGTCAGCAGCAGAACTCGCAGAACTCCATGCTGAGTCCCGGCGCGACCAGCCAGGACTCCCACGACGCCACGCTCACGGAGAAGCTCGTCAACGAGTTGCAGGTGAGCAAGCCGCGACGGCCGTTTTGCATTTCGTCGCCCGGATGAAAGACGCGCAAACACGCAAAGTTCGCGTTTACGCGCGCACAGAGAGTATCGCGCGTCTTTTTCTATTTATTTTTCGCTCGCCCGAGAGAAACGGACGGAGTTACTCCGCGACCGTATCCACTGCGAGGAGAGCAGCGATAAATAACTAGGGCGAGGCGACCGCGATAAAAATACATAACGCACCGATAAATAGGGTCATTCACTCACAGGCCGGCAGACGCTGGACAATACTTTCGAGCGAGGTTTCTCTCCCCGCGGGGAAAAATATTTATTCAACGACGCTGTCGTCCGACGACGCGTCGACGCGAGCCCTAAGTATCGCGAGATATCAAGGTCCCTCCTACGTGTTGGCGCCCGCCCGTGTAAATAACGCGGTTTCAAACGTCTCGCGAAATCGTTCGTTCTATCGTGTAAAAACCAGACGCGCTTAAGGAGACGCGCGCTTCTTCTCGCTAAACGATGTATCAAACGTTCTTTCTAATTTATCGTTCAAATGGCATTGCGATAGCGAGCAACGGCTTGTAACGGCTCGTAACAGAGAGCTGTCGGGATTTGCAATATATTTATCAGCCGGAAGACGGGCGTGATTGCTTTTACGTTAATTCGGCGTCATCTTAGCGTTACAGAGTCACATGTCATCGACAATTTTGTCGGTTTGATTCCGCGACTGTACCCAGATACGCTGACCACGGTTTGCACACACGCACACACACGCACACGTAAATGCATACACACTAGCAGGGTACGTTGACTTAGCACATCGTAGTTGACTTACACGCTCGTACACACGGAAGAGGGAGAGAGAGTGAGAGCGAGTGAGTGAGAATGTGCAGAAGAGAGAGAGAGAGAGAGAGTGAGAGGGAGAGAATGAGGGAGTGAGCGAGAGGAGCACACGCACACGTCAAAGTAGCAGTGCAGTCCGCAAATGCGAACGCGGCCCACGCACACCAATGCGGGAGAGATGCAGATACGTCGTCTCTCGGGGTTCTTGACCCGCGCAACACAGATAATACCATACGCATACGTCATACGGTACGCCGGGAAGATGTTACCAAGAAAATATCGCGCCGTGTTTCTGCGACGGCATGGGCCGCGGAGGCTCGATACGATGTGTGTGTGTGTGAGAGAGAGAGAGAGAAAGAGAGAGAGTGCGAGAGAGAAGAAAAATTACACGTCGTATCACCCGACAGATAGCGGAACTTTGAGATCGCGTTAGCGAGCATCGGCGATTCGTAATTAGCGAGACTATAAACTGTCGCCCGTAAGAAAACCTGAGAGCACTCTGTTTGCAAGAGACTGTCTCGCGAATATATAGTATTAGATCACAAATACCTTTCGTTATTTGCGCAGCTATCGTTATTTTTGCAGAAGTCTCATTTTACATTTTCGAATAATTATCGCGCGATATTTATTACAAATAGTATCGATATTAATTTTACACCCGATCGCCATCGACAGATAGCGATAGCTCTGTCACAAAGTAGAAATACTCGTTTCATCGTGCCGCTCTCGTGCCCGTCGACGCGGTAACAGCGGAGAGGGTTTCTTTTTTATTCTTTAACATCCGAAATAGTAGTAGTTGGGCGAAACGAAGCTTTGTAGTGGAGACGGCTAGTACGCCGTCGAGGACGGCGGAGAATCGGGGACTAACCTGAGCTATCCTATCTTGCCTCATAGTCTCGTGCCTCTGCGGCGGGGCTTGGAGGTGCAGTAGGTGCCGGCGGTGGTGGAGGAATGGGCAACATCAGCGAACGCACCCTCGAGGAATGCTGGTCCACCCTGCAGCGAGTGAGTTGAACACTCCAGCTCGTTCACGAAAACCCCTTTTATTAATGCTCTCTCCTTGCCCGGCGCATCCTACTTATCTTAAGTTTCTCGCTTTCTCTCGCCGATCGACGCGACGGCCGAGGTTTTCTCTATATTCGTTTTTTTCTCCCCTTTTATTTATTTTGAATAACACGTCCTGCACGTCGCAGACGCACCCACGTCTCGTCTCGCTCATTGATGTTATTTTTTTTCGTTCATCCCGCTCACAATCAACGCGATTCAGTTGGCTATGTTTTCGCCCGCAAGAATCTCGCTTCCGCGCGAATTCACTCAAACATTCTGCGATCGTGTCTGATTTTGCATCTCGATCGCTTTGCTCACTTATTTGTTCGTTGATTTTGATGTTGTTATCTTATTACCTTTTTTTTTTTGTCTTTTCATCTGCTGGCATGTGTCGTATGTGTCGTTCGTCTTGTACATCGTTGGCTGAATGTGTCGCCTTTGTTCCTGTGCATTGTGAAATAGTCTTACTTGCAACTGACCGCCTAAGCGGCCGTTCGAACGATCCTCGTTCTCGCTCGTACTAACGAGCGTGCCGTTGCAACATACTATAGATTTAACGAACGCGGCGAAATGTGCGTTTCGCATTGTAACGTTTTCAGCGAGCGATACTTGTGTCACGCACGCGACGCGGAATACGGACAAAACAGCAATTTTTTTTTTGCGAACGGCGAACCAATTGCGCTCGTTACGCGCAATCGATTTGCGTCGCACGATCGCCAAAGCGCAATACATCGTAGATTCCTGGCGCGACTCCGCGCCAACGCCGCAAGTACGAAAGTACGCGGGAAAAGAAAGCGACGCTAACGAGCCCTGAATTACGTTAAACTGTCGTTTCGATGAGGAGGAGCGAGAGGTCCCGGCACGCAGAAAGGAGAGACGAGCGTGGTAAAAAGGCGGGATACTCCCCTCTGCGCGCAAGCCCTCCTTTGCGGAAAACTTTATTCTCATCCCCAGAACGAAACAACAATTTGTTTCGTTAAGTAGCCGCGGCGCTCTTTTGTTTTTGCGACTTCTTTTATTTTAGCGGCGATAGCGGCGGCCGGAGTGACGGCAGAAAAGGTAACAGGAAGTGGAAGAAGGTGAGATGGGGGTGCAAGAGGGTACTGCACGGGCATTCTCGTCCCACCGCCGTGTTCCATCTCTCGTCCTTCCTTTTCTTCCATCGCCACCTTAAAAGCCGTCCCGCGCCGCGCGCGCGTGCGAAGCGAAACTTTCGGAAAATCGCAAAAACGCCGGGCGATGGCGAAGTTTCCACGTTTCCCCGAGATTTAATTAAAACATTCGCCTCCTTTGTGCCGTCCCCATGCGCCGGTTCGCGGACCACCGGGCTGTCGAAGCGAGCCATCGTCTGTCGTTCTGTCCAAGTGACGAGGACTGATACGAGCACTTTCGATCATCAACCTTTAATGCTTAAGGATCATTGATAATTCGCTACGGGTTTTCCCGCTTGATTCTGAGAGAGAAACGTTGTAAAAATAATTTAAAAAATTGTACACGGAAAATTTTATCAATATCGAAATAAATTACGAGTTTATAGTTTTACAGCGCAGTTTTACAAAAACAAAAAATCTCGAAAAATCGCGCGCTTTAATTAAAGTTAAATTTAATTGAATTCACAGTCGTTTAATTATAGATTGATAAAAATAATATACAAGTATATTTCAATCGTAGTCTTCAACAATGATGCTCTCTAATGGAAAATAAATTCGGGACACTTGAGGATTTATTGTGAGCTCGTGGGAAAGATGAAGGGTGCCGCGGAGTGAAAAGGATGAGACGAATGCGCCGCGATGTTACATAAACATTCGCGGAGAACGGTTCTCAGGACCCGGGGTCCACCCGCGTTTTTTTGTTCTACCGCTCGCGCTACCTCGAAAATTAAAATCCAATTATTTCGACGCCTCTGCTCGACCCGGGCTCGAGCCGATTCAAATGAATTTTTTGCACGCGCTTCTCCCCAATTCGCTCTTTCATCGCGCGTTAAACCGGTTCGCTCGGCGCAACGAACCGTCGCCGAGTTGCATCCACACCGCGATCTACCCTTGATCGATCCGGAACCGCGATCTCGGATCAAGCTGACAGCTGCCGGGAAGAACCAGAAGCGAATGAAGGAGAAAACGAGCAGGGGAAAAGAAAATCCGAAAGAGATCTGAGCTCCTTCCCAACGAGCGTAAATTGTCCCGACGCCTTGTCATTGTCTCAACGCACAAAGGCTTACGTATCCCTGCGACAAACGTTCTCTCGCATCAACGTCGTCCACGCTTGCGTGAAATGTCGAAAATAATTTTTTCAAAAAAGTTCAAACAAATTTGATCCGATAATTGTAGAAAACGATAAAAGACTGGCTGATAGAAATTTAATAATTTTCAAATCATCTTCGCACGCAGAATCTTTATCGAGTCGCGATGGATTTTCAATTATTTTAAAACGTAACGGAGGAAGTTAATAAAATGTAAGAGCACGAAGGATGACGACAGCCGCGAACGACGTGCATAAAGATTTAATCGTCGAGCGCGACTCAATGCGGGACGATCAAATAATGACTACGCTCCTTCTCCGGCTACGATAACAAAAAAGAAACACGCATTATCTATTTGCTGACGCAGATACGTCTCTCGTTCCGACATGCAAATCTCGAGGAGTCTTTCTCACGTTGCGTCCCTCACGTTCCTCGCAGGAGCGCATACTTTTTTTTTCCTTCTCATACCCGGAAGGCTCCTGTGTACTATTTAAATAACGGTTCTCGCGCACGTTTCATTGTTTCACCGCTCTTTCTCTCTCAGCGAGTAACCCTTCTGGTTACCGGGGAAAGGCCGGGTAAGGGAAGGGGGTTGCTCTGTTTCGAGTCGAGTAAGAAAACCGAAAGGGAGGATGACGGGAGGGGCGCGAAGGGGGTCAAGTTCCGTGCCGGATAGCCGTTATGGCAAAGACAGAATTACGACGTCTCAAGACGAGGGGTGTCCCTCCCCCCTCGTTTTAACCCCTTTCGCTCGGTCCCGGACGGATCGTCACGGAGTTTCTTGGCTTTTCAGTAATTTTCTATGATTTTCGGATCGCATGATCGGCAACAATAACGCGCGCGCGCGCCCACGGCCTCTTCGAATTCGGCCTAATCGAATGCGTTCGATCGCTCGCGAAAGTCGGTGAATCTGGAAGAACGGCAGGTGATAATGATGGAGAGAAACCATTTTGAAACTTAATTTTCTCAGAAAAGAGAAACTTCTTATGCGAGCGCGTTGTCTAAAAGTAAAAAGAACAATTTGGAGAGATATCACTGCGCGTATGTAACTAAATAAAAGCAGAAATGTAACCGAATGAAAGCAGAAAGAAAATTATAATTAAAAACAAGAGGCATCCATTAGGAAACTTAGTAACAAAAAAAAAATTAACGAGACAGCAAAGTGATAATATTAATAATATGGTTTGCAAAAGACAAAAGACGAAATGGTACGCAAACACTCTCGTGATTTTCCATTCTGCGAATAATTCAATCCATATAAGTGTATTTCAAAAACGGGTTTAAAGTGCAAATGCAGTTCGCGGACGCAAATGACATGCAAACTGCATAATCGGTATAAAGAATTGTTTACACGCGGAAAAGATGAAAGACGCATCACGGCGAAGCACCGGCGCGCACACGCGGCCGTGCACACACTCTTCTTTCCTCTCACACTTTTCTGCCCGTTCCCCCCGTCTTTCGTACACGGCTTCGCCGTGACCTACCCCAAACAAACCACGAGAAAAAGAGGGAAGAGAAGTGCGCGGCGGTGAGGTCGCGGGGCGGCGAAGGGCGCAGGGAGCGACACGGCGGAGAAAGGAGGAGAGAAAGGAGAGGCGGGGGGAGGATGAGGAGAGACGGAGACGAACGAAACGAGAGGATGGAAGAGAGTGCATTCGCGCCCACACACGCCCGAGAAGTTGCAACGCGCGGATGACAAGGAGGAGAGCTGCGCGCGAGAGAAGGACGAGCGCGAGGGGAAACGGGGGGAGGATCGGGAGGGTACGCGGAACGGAGTTTATTCTTCGTGCTTTTTTTTATCGTTCGTTGACTCCGCGCTCCTCTGCGGCGAGAGAGCAGCGTGCTGCACCACGATAAGATTGCGCTCGCAGGGGCGGTGAAAGAGTAAGAGGAAGAAGCACGTTGTACGGGAGAGCGAAATCCGCCCGCGCACGCCATGCGTGCCCGACGCTTATATTACGTTTCAGCGTGTATATCGGTGCGCTATCGCGGAAATATCTCGACGCGGTAGGTAGTAAGCTCGCGGGAAATCAGACGGCGTGGATAAATCTCGATAATTGCGAACGGAGTCTGTGAGAAAATATGCGACGAAATGTGATGGGACACGTGTTGCGCGATTAACATTGAGACGGAAATACATAGGCTATTCCGGAGACAATAGAGCTTATTATTTAATTATACTTAATGCTACGTCTATATATATATATATATATATATGTGTATATACAACGATATATACCGCGATATTTGCGCACTAATTACGCACATTACACGGAAGACAAGAAGGCAGAAAGATGAGCGTCGCGAAACACGTTCGCCGATAATAGACGGGCTAAAACTTTTCCGGTGGCCCACGCGAATATTTGTTGCGGCACAATTACGTCAATTAGCGGCACGTATTCGCGCGACGAACTGGCGAATTCGTTATTGAGCGGGGAATGCGAGTCCGCGCGAAACCCACCGCGAGCGAGTCAAGGCGACGACGAAACACACACACTTCGCCGAGGTGACTGACCCCAAAGTTCTCATAATGCATGCGCGATTATAGGGCAGCGGAGGGACCGCGCTGTTTTCGGCCTTGTTGCCGCCGTGCGATATTACTCAATACGCGTCACGGTATCGCACGTCTATAATTCAGCGACATTAATAATGCGCAGAGGCGGAGAAGAATTGCGCGACTCGCATATAGATCCGCGTTCGATCCGGGATCTAATTTGACATTTTACAACAATCTTATAGATTCCGTATCGCGAATGTTCCGTGACGAATTATATAAATAACTAAAACGGTTCTTACCCGTGAAGCGATGTTGACGATCGACGAAGAGGTATTTCAGACTCGTCGTAACGAAATGGTCGAGATCGTTGATGCGAGATTCTCATGCCACTGAAAGAGGAAAAAAAAATTTGTTCGTGACAAAAGAGAAACAAACAGTTGACAGAAAAAAGCGGGGCACAAATGCAATGGTAGCGAGAGTTGCCATTTCGTGGCTCTCTCGCGGTCGAGAAATCTCGGCGTCCGTTTCGTGAGAGAGAAAGAGAGACTCGCTCCCGTATCCGAGAAACTTCTCCTCTCCTCTCCTCTCTTTCTCGCCGGGGCCGACGCGCGCGCGGCAAAAGATCGTTGCCCTTCTAAATATAAGTTTGCAAAATCGAACAGCAAAACTGCGGAGTTTTGCCGCGGTCTGCGCCGCTCCGTGTGTATATTGCCGCTGGATCAGCTCCCTTCTTCTTCTTCTTCTTCTTCTTCTTCTTCTTCTTCTTCTTCTTCTTCTTCATTCTCCTCTTCTTCTTCTTCTTCTTCCTCTACTTCTTCTCCTTCGTCCTCTTCCTCGTCAAGCCTTCTCTCCACCTCCCTCCCGCCCCCTGCTTCCCGCCGCGAGCCATGTCGCTTAGTCCTCCGCCACCACCGCATCCTCCTGGACGTTTCCCCCTCGTTCCCCCCCGGTTCTACGTCCACCTCCACCACCTACTTCGATCTCCCTCTCGTCTGTCCGCGTCTCTCGCGTCGGGGTCCCCCTCACGGACCCACGGACTCAGATCCCCACTGTTGCATCGTGACCTCGAAGGCCCGCGATTCCGTTCCTTCAGCCGCGTCGACTTTCGGGCGAAATTCGCGCGCTCGCACGAAGCGTAGTCGTAGGTCAGGATCTGGCTGCAAGAGCGCGGGAAGAAAGGAGAAAAAGAGTAAGAAAGAGCGAGAGGGGGAAAGCGCGCGCGTAAAAGAAAGAGAGGAACATAGTTCCCGAGTTCCCTCCGCGGCGATAGCGAGACAGATATATCTGTGCATTTTGCGTGCACTCGTAGCTGATCGTCGAAATGCAACGCGGCTAAAATGCCCGCGGTTTTTGCGGCTTTTCGTCCATACGCGCGAATCCAGTATTTTTAGACACAAGCTATCTCTCGGAGGATTCTTTGGAATAACTTCTGAAATATTCTATCGAATAAAAAATATTCTCATCAAATTAATACAATTCCACGTGACTCAATTAGGCGCGAGGCTAAATTAATACCGATTAATATAATCAAAAAAATGTTGATGCCTTAATTTAAAATTCAGCGTTTTTACATATTTTAAATACTCTTTAGATTTTCACAAAAAGAATAAAATATAATTAAAACATCTATAATTAAAGAATACGGCATCATAAATACCGATATTGTCCGACATCTTGAGAAGACCGCCATTCGCTCGAATGGGCCGGGCCGACCGCCGAAATTCAGACGTTGGCCCGGACGTAGTCGTAGGTCAGGATCTGGCTGAGAATGCGAGGGAGAAGAAGACGCGAAAGAGAGAAAAAGATGTGCGCCGGGAGAGAAGAGAAAGGAAAACGAGAGAGAACAAACGAGTGAGCGAGCGAACCATCGCGGTCTGCGAGTAGAGGCGTGCGGTAAAGAAAAAGGCGTGCACGCACCAAGAAGCGGAGATAAAAAAGCGTGAGCCGACCGAAGGAAAAAATAGCCGATTCGGAATCTGTGTCAGCGAGGCCATTCAACGACGGCGACGACGGCGGTGCACCAATGTCACTCGCGCGCTGCAACGCGAGAAAAAAATTATGAGAGATATGACGGACAAGTTGAGATGTTTCTTTGTGGCTCGAGATTAAAAATGCAGGTCACAGACGATTAGAAAGAGGGGTAATCAGTTGTTTCGTGCCGTGAAGTTAATTCGATTAATTAAAATTGCGATTCCTGCGAAAGAGAGGATGCCTTTGTCGAAAGTTATTGTAGAGTGTCGTAAAGATATTGATAACAGCGCGCGAGCGACTAGCGTTGAAATGTATTTTCGCGATGTCGGTTGAAAGCTGGATAGCTATGCTAATTGCCAATTAACAAAAGGGATAGTATCTACATTATAAATAATTAAGGCACTCTTTTGCCTACAAATGCGAATTTTATCGTCGCGCTTTTTACGCTCGAGGTAACTATAACGCCGCGCGCCGAACGGGAAAGCAGCGACCGTTCTCGGAGTCTGCATGCTGCGGCAGCGTTCCCGGCATCATCATCATCGTCATCTCGTGCATGCGTGGGTGAATAGCCTGGCTGTTCCCGAGCGCGAGAGCGGAGGAAAGAGAAAGAGAGAGAGAGAGAGAGAGAAAGAGAGACGAGAGGTAGACGGCAATAGAGCAGGAGAGAGAAAGGAGAACGCGAGAGATAGAGAGACAGACATCGACGGCGACATGTGCAAAGCGAACGCGAGAGACAAAGAGAAAAGAGGCTGCGGAGAAACTGCGAGACGAAGAGAAAAGGAGAAAGACGCGCGCTGTTGGATAGATACTCCGACTCTCTCCGTGCTCTTACTTACTCTTTCGCTCTCCCACCGCCTCATCTGTTCTCGCTTCAATTGCGTCCTTGTCCCGCCGAAGGAGGAAGGTCCGTTCGGTGAGGTCCGCTCGACGGGTCCGAGCGTGTCTTCCAGCCTTTATCCCCACTAGAATTCGTCTCGTCGCGTCTACGCGCCTACGTCCCCACTAGAGCACGGTCCCAAATGTAATTGGTCGATCGTATCCTACTTCCACATCAGAACTCCCTCCGCGTATCCTTGTTTTCGGCAATAGTTCACCGTCAACTCGTTTATTGGCTTCGGGCGCAGGCATCCGCAGACCAATAGATGTATCGCTAGTAGATGATCGCCGAAAATAAGAATAAGATGGAGGAGTTTCTCATCTAGAAATAGGATGTAATCAACCACTTAAGACCATCGCATGTAAAAAAGTTTAGTTGTTACCGTAAGGCATAAGCAAATCGACCAATCACATTGAGCAGTAATGCGAGTCGTTACTGCTCAATGTGATTGGTCGATTTGCTTACGCTTACGGTTACGACTAAAACTTTTTTACGCGTAATGGCCTTCATGCTTGGTCCCGAAGTCAATAAGATATCTCCTCTTCGACGAAGTGGTACAAAATGGTTCACAGCTAGCCCGACAATTCGGCATTAAACCATCGTGATTGCGATGTGAAGTTCGCTCAGTCTTGAAATCATCGTTTTATCAATAAACCGTGCAAGATGCACGTCTCGAGCGGATTCGTGTGCGGTCTTTGATTCAACTTGGCGTCATCGTTGTAACATCCGTACAGCGGATCTACGCAACCCTAGCCGTCCCTGAAACCCCCTGTAGATAGACGTGTGCTGCCGGCAATAGCAGCAGGCGCTACCCCACTCTCGTACTCTCCTGGATCCGCTCTGGTGGCTTCTCGAGGCGAGTACTCTACCTTCGGACCTTCGCGCCAGTGCTTCCCCACTGTACTGCTTGCGGCCAATCCGCGGCGAGGACGCCGGCGTGAAGCCTACGCGGCGACGGCCAAGCCGATTCTCGCCGGCGCCCCAGCATTTTATACGGAAAAGACTCTTTAACGAAGCACAAGGTGCGCACGCACGATCAACTTCACGCGACACCACGCGCGCACACACACACACATACACATACGGGGAGACGAGAGTGCGACGACGACGACAACGACGACCGCGACCGCGACGACGACGACGACGACGACGACTACCGCGAAGACCACGAGGACCAACGACGCGTTTCCTGTTTCATCAACCCCTTTCCTCTCCCTCGCACTGTCAGCTCGGGAAAAGAAACCGGGACCAAGCTGCATGGCAAAGAAGAAGCAACGAGTAGTTTGGAAATCTAGTGAGACCGATCGAGAGGAGACGATAAACTCTTGAGAGAAAAAATCGTAAACACCGCTTGTTAAACGAGGAAATCGCACGAAGTAGCCGTAACGCATCCATCTTCGTCGGGACCGGTGACTCTTCGGGGGAGGGGGGGGACCACGAAAGAGAGAGGGTGTCGAGCTGTCGATCTGTCTCGTCTCAGTCCGAAGAGTTCGCGGCGCTTGTGAAAGAAGACCATGGGCAACGTGCGCGCCATTGACAGCTGACAGTGCGTAGATCCACTCGTCGTCTCTCGTCTCGTTCCCAGTTTCCCTATCTTCCGCGTGCCTCGATTCCACCGGTTCGCCAAACGCTCCTTCCTCTGGTGCCCCGTTCCCTCACCCTATCTTCCGCACTCTTTTTCTTCTTCGTCACCCTCCACCACCGGATCCGCCGCCCCCACCAAGAACGACCAGCCGCGCCGCGAAGTGCCGAACGATGAACTCGGGCAACAGTGTGCCATATTTTGTGATCTTTTTACCTAGCTCCTACCACCGCGATTTAACTGTGATCCACCTACTGTAGAGACTCGCGTCGCACGAGAGGTAAGAGGCAGCGCGATACAAATCATAAACGCGCGAAGTTAATAGCGAGACAAGTCGAGTCGTTCGGTCATCTTCATTTAAAAAATGAAAAAAAAAACGATTGGAAAAGGTAAACAAATGAGCTGAAACTTGACTTGGTCTTTCCATTGACTACGCGTAAGCCTGATATCATCGCGGGGGAGGGGGACGGGGAAGCAGCTGGACGACGAGCGTAATCTCCCGGTGCTGTAATTCCGTTTCCGAATTCGATTTATCATGAAACTCACCGGCGGTTTCGGCGGCGCCGCAAAGACACCGCCGCCGTCAACATTGACGTCTTCGCCGTCCACGTGCTCCTTCGTCATTCGCGAAACCGGCCGTAGCCTTAAGATCGACCCCGCGTTTGTATACGTCCTTTCTCAGGATCGCGTACCGCGGCCACACATTCCGGAACGAGGACAACGCGCTCCTTCGAGCGCGAACGACACTGCCCACTGGATGACGCGACGTCAAGATATCCAAAGAGAAAGATCCTCGAAGGATTTTTCCATTCTCGTGAAAGTCTTGCGCCTCGCGCGCCATTAAATTTACACTTCGGATGCGCGCGATTACTTTCCGGACAAAGAAAGAACCTGGATCTACCGGCATTCCGGTTCGATTTTCCTCGTGGATGTTCCTTACATTTCGTTCTAACAAGATT